GTCTCCCGTCCCCACGTGCTCCAGTGTGTGGAGGGCTGTGGTGTCTCCCGTCCCCACGTGCTCCAGTGTGTGGAGGGCTGTGGTGTCTCCTGTACCCCACTCACCAGGCCTGGCCTTGTCTTTCAGGATTCCTCGTATTTTGAGGACTTCTCCAACATCTCCATCTTCTCCTCGTCTGTGGACTCCCTGTCGGACATCGTGGACACGCCCGACTTCCTGCCGGCCGACAGCCTCAACCAGGTGTCCACCATCTGGGACGAGAACCCTGCCCCCTCCACCCACGACAAGGTCAGTGCGCCCGGCGCCCCCCAACAGCCCCGACCCACCAGCATGGCCTCCCCAGCCCAGGACCCACAGGGTCCGGCGAGGTCTCAGTCTCCCCGACTCTGCGTGCCGCTGGCTGTCCTGTCACTGTAGGCTCCGTCCATGGCCATGGATGAGGTGGTTAGGTGAGGGTCCTCTCGTGTCCTGAATAGGAGAAGGCGATGTCCAGGACATCTGTGGCTACCACATCTTGGGGGGGCTCCTGGCATGGAGTTGAGGGGGGCCAGGACGCTGCCCAGCGCCCTGCAGTGCCCAGTATGGCCCCACCCGCGAGGGACCCGGCCCCACGTCCACCACACCGGGGAGTCCCTGGTCTAGAGAAGCACAGGAAGGTGACAGGACAGAGAAGCGTGGTCAGGGAGGGCCCCCTGGAGAGGCAGTGCCCAGCGGGCCCAGGCAACGTGGCTGTCCAGGCAGAGGAACAGCACCTGTGGTGGCTGCCAGCCCCATGGTGCCCTGGGTCAGCAGTGGCCGTGTCCCCGCTAGGTGGGAGCTGAGAGGGCGAGGTTGGCGGAATCCTGTCCCAGGGTGGGGAGTTGGACGTTATCCTGGGGGGCTGAGGGGCTGGGGTTTGCCTCCGAGAAGGTCCTGGAGGACCTGGGTGGGCCAGGCCTAGAGCAGGGGTTGTAGGGCAGCAGGGCCCCCAGGTTCTTTGGGCCCAGGCTCTAGCCGTGCCCAGTACCACGCAGTGGAGGTGTCCTGTGAGGGAAGCGTGGCTGGGAGCCAGGCCTGGGGAGTCCCTTCCCCCATCCAGGCCTGTCCAGGAGAGAAACTTCTAGACTTTGGGAGCAGACATTGGACACATGTCTGGGGCTGAGCGCCTTCCAGTGAGGGCCCACACCGGCCTCCCCACGCTCCCGGCCGCTCTCCCAGGCCCTCAGGAAGGGTGCAACCCGGGCAGCAGAACTCACGGGCTTGGGGGCCAGGGCAGGAAGCATCAGAGCACCCCGCAGCCACGGTAGGCAGCTCAGGCCTGGTCCCTCTGGGGCATTTCACCCAGCCTGGGGCCCATGCCCTCCCAGCTAGCTCACAGGTCCTTGGCAGGGCAGGAGGAAAGCAACCAGGGCCTGACCGGCCTGCTGTGGACGGCAGGAGGACATCTGAAACCCAATGCCCCGCCAGCCCCACCAGGAATCACCGGTGACTCAGCCTTCCAGGAACCCGTGTGGCATCTGTTTGTTTGTGTTTTGTTAATTTAAAAAAAAAAAAAAAAGGAGAGGGGAACTGAGTAGAGGTTTCTAACCTTCCTGTGCCACGCTTCCACTTTCTTTGAAAATCTTCACAAGTGTTCCTAGTGTTAGAAAACGCAGAAGCTGGCCGGGCGTGGTGGGTCAAGCCTGTAATCCCAGCACTTTGGGAGGCCGAGACGGGTGGATCACGAGGTCAGGAGATCGAGACCATCCTGGCTAACACGGTGAAACCCCGTC